AGCCGAATGACGGCTTCACTGCGGCCGGCCAGTTCTGAGTGGACGTCATATGACGTCCTCCCAGAACGCGCTCTCCTGCGCGCCCCAGGGGGCGCGCACCCGGCGATCTCCGTGATCGCTGTGTCCTACGGACACAGCTGATCACGTGATGTGGTAAAAGGCCAATCACAGCGGCCTTTTACCACCTGATCAGCGGTGTCCAATGACACGCTGATCAGAAGGAAATGCAAGTGCCGGTTCTCGGCTGCACTTTCCTCACGCTGTCAGATCGTGAGGAAAGTACTGCCGAGAACCGGCAGTTGTCAGAGCGAGGATCGGCACCGATCATCAGGGCACTGATGATCAGTGCCCTGATGATCGGTGCCCAGCAGTGCCACCCGCAAGTTCCGCCCAGCAGTGCGCCCACTAGCTCCGCCCACCCGTGCCCATCAGTGCACCCACCTGTGCCCAGCAGTGCACCCACCTGTGCCCAGCAGTGCACCCACCTGTGCCACTCTGCAGTGCCACCTACCTGTGCCCAGCAGTGCCACCCACCTGTGCCCACCCACCTGTGCCCACCAGTGCCACCCACCTGTGCCCACCCACCAGTGCTGCCCACCAGTGCCACCCACCAGTGCAGCCCAGCAGTGCTGCCAGTCAGTGCCACCAGTCAGTGCCCAGGGGTTGTGCCAGTCAGTGCCGCCAGTCAGTGCCCAGCAGTGATGCCAGTCAGTGCCGTCTATCAGTACCCATCATCAGTGTCACCTATCAGTGCCGCCTATCAGTGCTGCATATTAGTGCCGCCTATCCGTGACCCCTAATTAGTGCTGTCTATCAGTGCCGCCTATCCGTGCCACCTCATTAGTACTGCCTATCAGTGCCCTTTAGTGCTGCCTATCAGTGCCCATCAGTGCCGCCTATCAGTGCCCATCAGTGCTGCCTCATCAATGCACATCAGTGAAGGAGAAAAAATACCTGTTTGAAAAATTTTATAAAAGAAACAAATAAACTTTTTTTTTTTTTTCAAATTTTTTGCAATTTTTTTATTTATAGCGCAAAAAGTAAAGTGCCCAGTGGTGATTAAATACCACCAAAAGAAAGCTCTATTTGTGAGAAAAAAATGATCAAAATTTCATATAGGTACAATGTTGCATGACCGCGCAATTGTCAATCAAAGTGCGGCAGCACTGAAAGCTGAAAATTGGCCTGGTAAGGAAGGGGGTATAAGTGCCTGGTAGGCAAGTGGTTAAAAAGTTGATTGGAGAGGGGGAAAAACATATAAAGAAGTGCAGAAAATGATAGGCTGCTCAGCTAAAATGATCGCAAATGCTTTAAAATGGCAACCAAAACCTAAAAGACGTGGAAGAAAGCGAAAAACTATCATTCGAATGGATAGAAGAATAGCCAAAATGGCAAGGACTCAGCCAACAATCAGCTGCGGGAAGATCAAAGAAGGTCTAAAGTTACCTGTGAGTACTGTTACAATTAGAAGACGCCTATGTGAAGCCAAGCTATCTGTAAGAAGCCCCCGCAAAGTCCCACTGTTGAAAAAAAGACATGTGCTGAAGAGGTTACAATTTGCCAAAGAGCACATTGACTGGCTTAAAGAGAAATGGCGCAACATTTTGTGGACTGATGAAAGTAAGATTGTTCTTTTTGGGTCTAGTAGCCGGAGACAGTTTGTCAGACGACCCCCAAACACTGAATTCAAGCCACAGTACACTGTGAAGACAGTGAAGCATGGTGGTGCAAGCATCGTGATATGGGGATGTTTCTCATACTACGGTGTTGGGCCTATTTATCGCATACCAGGGATCATGGATCAGTTTGAATACATCAGAATACTTGAAGAGGTCATGCTGCCTTATGCTGAAGAGGAAATGCCCTTGAAATGGGTGTTCCAACAAGACAACGACCCCAAACACACCAGTAAACGTGCAACATCTTGGTTCCAGACCAACAAGATTGACGTTATGGAGTGGGCAGCCCAATCCCCGTATCTTAATCCAATAGAAAACTTGTGGGGTGACATCAAAATGCAAACATTTTTCAGTTTATATAGTGAATGTTTGAGTTTGTAAAGAAGAATACAAACACTGCTATTTTTTTGAACAGTCTAATATTCACTTTTCTTCAATTTTTTTATAGGAACAACACAAATTTGATCTATTTTTCTTCATGTTTTGATTTGTAATAGAATGTGTAGTGTTCCCAATGTATTTGTGTGTATGGAAATAAAAGCTATTAGAAGGATTTTGAGCTTTATTCACTTTTTTCAAACACACTGCTATTATTTTGAACACAACTGTATATGCTTTTGTATTTCCTGGTAGGCGGCGCGCGCACTGCCCTAACCACGCTGCCTTTGGTGGCTAGAGGTATCGATTACCGGGTCCCAGCTGGAGTTTCTCCGCCACTACCCGGCGATTGCCGACGAACACTGACAGGGGAGAGGTCTGTATGTAAACAATACAGATCTCTCCCCTGTTATCTCCACCATGCTGCTTTGTTTTGCTCTGCATAGCAATACACTGTAAAACACACACAGCAAACAGTTAACCCTTTGATTGCCCCAGATGTCAACCACTTCCTGCCCAGTGTTATTACTATCATTATACAGGATTTATATAGTGCCAACAGTTTGCGCAGCACTTTTTATTAGCACTGATCACTGTATTACTGTCACTGGGGATGTCAGTGGCAGTCAGTCAGTGGCAGTTAGTGTCAGAATGCCTGCCACAGTCTTGCTATAAGTCGCTGATCGCCGCCATTACTAGTATAAAAAAAATCCACTATATATATATACAGTATATATATATATATATATATATATATATATATATATACACGCCATTTGTAGATGCTATAACATTCACGTAAACCAATTAATTTACACGTATTGGGATTTTTTAGCAAAGACAGGTAGAAGAATACATACGTATCCATTAATTGGTTTACGTGAAAGTTATAGCATCTACAAATGGCAGTATATATACTGAAATTTTAATTTTTTTATACTAGTAATGGCAGCGATCAGCGACTTATAGCGGGACTACAGGACTGTGGCGGGCATTCTGACACAGGGTGGGAACTGACTGCCACTGACATCCCCAGTGACACTAATACAATGATTAGTGCTAATAAAAAGCACTGACACTGTACTAATGACACTGGGCTGGAAGGAGTTAACTTTTGGGCGATCAAAGACTGTGCAGAGAAATACAAAGCAGCATGTCCTAGCTGGCACGAGAGAGACCTGTGTTGTTTACACACAGGTCTCTCCCCTGTCAGCTTTACTCAGTGATCACCAGGTGTTGGCGGGGAATCTCTAGCTGGGACCCAGTGATTGAGATCCATAGCCACCAATGGGGGCACGGGTAGGGCAGCGCGTGCGCCCCCTAACCGGGAAATGCAAATCACGAATATATACGTGATTTTGTGCAGCCCTGCCACCCTGTAGCAGTAGTTCTACTACAGGGCGGTGGGCAAGCAGTTAAATAATCTACGAGCAGGCTTAACCTCCCTAGCGGTATGATTATTTAATATTTTTGGTGCTGAAAGCGGTACCATTATTTTGCATGGAAATATGTAGTTTTTTTTTATTGTAGGCTGTAATTTTTAGGAATAACTCACTGAAATCTGTCCGAACAAGATTCTAAATCATACATTTAATTCAATAATATAATCAAACCAAAAACACTGAAATTTGAAATACAGAGGCAAATTCGCACATCGCTGAGCAAAGTCGCAAAATTGTTTTCAGTGTCTGATGACGAATTTCTCCACGAATCATTATCACTCAATTCTGCAAGTGGTTCTGATTTACTATCGCTGTTCTCTAGCTGGTCTAAAACCGCTTTTGACATAAAGGGACACTTTTTGGACGCCATGGACCTTTCTACGTTTCCAGGCAGAAAGAACAATCAAAATGCAGACAGGGGACAGGACAAAGCACTAGGGACAAAATGTATGTGAAATGGGTTGAAACAGCAATGTTTTACTATGTAAAATCGTTTTGAAAAAAATGACATTTTTTTTAAATTTTCAAATTTCCCGCCGGCGCCCGTACGTCCCGACGTCACAGGGACTGGAACACAGGAGGCGGATGCCGGCATCCGCCGGAGGAGATGGCCGGGGACGCTGCAGGGGACACATCGCGGGAGCCAATTACAAGGTAAGTGCTGCAGGGACTCACTATGCAGCGCTGCATGGTAAGCCCGAGTGTAGCTCGGGGTTACCGCTTTTGGTATAGACATTTTACCCTGAGCTACACTCGGGAATACCATTTGGGAGGTTAAGCAGGCTTTCATGAAGCTCCAAGAAGTGATGAAGCATGCTAGCAACTTGTTTAAAGTGAAAGCAATCCCATTAGGATCTGTGTTCAACATTTACAAACTGGAGTTGAATGGTATTTTTAACAGCTTCATCAAATCTTGCAAAAAGCTCTGCAAATGTTTTGCCAAAGCTGTTCACGCTGCTCTTCTACAAGCCGAAGCCTGTGAAACAGGCCTTAATGTAAGCTTGCTGTTCACACTGCTCTTCTACAAGCCGAAGCCTGTGAAACAGGCCTTAATGTAACCAAAAAAAAAAAACTGGCCTGATGGCCGGTTGTACCACAACATCACAGTGCAGAAATAGAAGTTAAAGACTCCTTGGGTTTGATTTACAAAAGGTAAATAGACTTTTAATTTTGCAAGGAAATTTAGCTTAGTGAATGTGGTGAAGATTCACTTTCTAAACAACAACCAATCACATGCTAAAATACAAACAAAATATTTGCATGCACGTGATTGAATAATGGAAGTCAGCAGAGTCTAACTTCATTCACTAAGCTAAGGGAAAATTCCTATACAAAGTGACCGGCCTATATGCCTCTATTAAACCAAACCCTTTTTCTCCACTAATACTTATGCTGTTAAGGAATTTGTTCTTAAAATGACCTTAAAAACCAATTTCTATTATACTCTTTTCACCATTGTGTGTATCTATACAATGCTAGGAAAATTCGTTTTGGCTCTCACCTGTTGATTCTCTTTTTGCTCTTTTTGATTCTCAGTAATTTGCAATGCCATATCTTCTAGTTTCTTATTAATGTTTTCACTTGGAAAATTTCTGTCTGTAGGAAAAACTAGCATTAACGTGGATTATATTAAGGACACTGGAAACATGCAGTTACTTTCAAAAGGTGCTCCTAGAACATTCACCTATTACTGGCATATACATTTAAACTATTACCATAAGATTTAAATTCCTGCCACAGCATACATAATTGATGGCTATTATTTTACAAGAAAGACTGACACCTCAATTAGAAGGAAGTTTTCATTTTTTTTTAAGTTTCTTTTTATTCATTTTTCCATGAGACATATTAATGTACAATACAAAACAGATTGAAAAAGTAGAAGTCCATTTTCTAGTCATTAACCGGATTATCAAGTGAATGGTTGATGTGAACAGGCTGACTTTTATTCAATTTGTTTATCAATTTATTATGTACCGGTGATTAGTTTTATGGCGAAATTTAAAAAACATGAACCTTCTTTTGTGGGTCAAAGGCCAATGCCAGTCCAGACATCTGTCCCAGTAAATGGAAGAGCAGTCAACAAAAACTAGTTGTCCATCAGATTTATTACTGTTGCCAAACCCAGTGCCAAGATTTTGGTTTATTGTATAATATATTGTAGTGTTAGCATATACTGTACTTCTTGTATTAGCTTCAAAATTCTTGGATGAACATTCAAAGTACATATTCACATACAGTGTTATATTAGGGTGAGGTCATTTCTTTTAATTACATATGATGATACCATCCTATGAAAAAACTATTTTGGTGAGAGATCTGTTATGTGTTCATGATTATAAAATGCCACATGACCCATAAATGATGTTTGTTTTGTCATGGAATTGTTACCCATGACTGTGAAACACACTGCCCAAACTTAACATGCTCCTTGAGAAGTAAATGATCCCCCATACTGTAAACCACATTGCTCTTTCCTTCACTCCAAGATAAGGAATTATTTCACCATACCGTAAACCACAAACATTGTCTACACTTAACATGCCGGAAGACTATCTTCACATTTTGGGTGTGTATGTAGATAACCCTAGGTTCACACCTAAGCATTTTCTGCAGCGTTTTGCAGAAACAAAGTACAGTCCACTTAACACGATTTCCTATGGGACAGGTTCACATCTGCGCATTTTCACCTGGTGCGTTTTTTGGAAAGGGTCAGGGACTTTTTTTTAACACAAAGAGTTGCGTTTTTGGTTCTAAAAACTACAATGGAAATGCTGCAGAAAAACATGTATTACTTTTTTGCTCCATTTTTGCAGTGTTTTTAATGCCTTTTGCATTTTAAATCTGCCTAGCAACAAGAAAAAATAAAAAAAAAAATTAAAAACCGCAAGACGCATCAAAAAAACGATGCAAAAACGCAGGTGCAAAAATGCAAAAGGCAACACAAAACGCAATGCAGAAACAGCTCAAACACAACCTGCATAGGTGTGAACCTAGCCTTAGATAACACACCTGTAGACATGTAAAAGTTCCTTGCATACAAAATGAATTGTGACAATATCAATCATTGCCAGTAGTCATGCCTAGCTATACTGCAAAAAAGACCTATGGCAAAATTATATAAAAACTCCAGTCTACAATCCTTAGTGGTATAGCTGTTTAATTTAAAAAATAACCAATTTTGTCTTGTATAGGGGAAAGATACTAACATGCGAATTTATCATTAAAGTCAGATAATCAATATAGTTGTGCATTTACCCATCCTACTTTAAGATCTTTGCATGTCAGTTGGTGCCATGGTATTTCTGTGCCAACTTCAGCATTGTTCCATCATGAATCAAAGGTTAGAAAAAATTATGAAAAATATAGCTATTTAAATCTCTCAACATTTGCTTAATTGTCATTAATAATACCAATAATATTTGTGATGTGTGTGTAATGTCAGTTTCAATGGGTGAATGTAACATTGCCTAACATTCAATCACAAAAGAAAATAGGCTAAAAAACATTTCACCCAAAAAAATTAAAGTACATGCGACCAATAGAGAAATAAGCCTAACACTCTAGGCCAGGGGTGTCAAACTCACAGCCCTCCAGCTGTTGTGAAACCACAAGTCCCATTATGCCTCTGCCTTTGGGAGTCATGCTTGTAACTGTCAGTCTTGCAATGCCTCATGGGACTTGTAGTTTGGCAACAGCTGGAGGGCCGCCAGTTTGACATCCGTGTTCTAGGCTAGGAACATTCAACCAGAACCAGAAATGAGGGAGACCTCTGCACTGTGTACAAAGTGTATGGAGAATCCTGTGCTTACCAATGTAAATCAGGGGTCTCCAAAGTTTATAAACAAAGGGCCAGTGTACTGTCCTTCAGACTTTCTGGGGGCTGGAATGTGGCCAAAGGCTTTGGTATCAATGGAAGTATACAGTGCTTCATCAATGGTATTAGTGGGAGAAATAGTGCTCCATTGTTGGTGGCAGTCTGAGGACTAGTCCCTTGTATTAGAAGGTGAAATAGCGCCAATCATTGATATCAGAGGAAGGAATAGTGCCTCATCATTGTCAGTAGAAGCAATGGTAACCCATTCTTGGTGTCCAAGTTTGGAGACCACTGGTGCAAATGAACCAACTACTGCCGAAAATGAATTGCTATATAGAATTGAAACAATGTTACTTTTACCTTAGGTAACTGTTGCACATCTGTGAAGGGGTTCATTCTAGTCAACTTGTCCAACTTGTCAAACAAGAGTTCCATCTCTGCAACATTGTATCAGTTCACTCTCTGCAGTAGCTGACTTATAATTACACTGTTGATGGTGAACACAGGAATTTTCATAAACTTATACTTAGCTCCATTTGATGGCCAAATGCTGATTTAAATCATTAATTTACATCCGAAAAGCACATAATATACAGTATTTGCAATTGTTTTTTGACTGATTTGCACAGAACAAATGCACTTGCCCTTTACTGAGCAAATAGCTATGCAAATTCTTTATAAATGAAGCCCTTAGTTTACAGTATATGGGCCTCTCTCATATTATTTACTATAATGTTAAGATATTTTCTCTATTGCTTGAATGTTCTTTATTTTGGTTGACTGTTCTTAAAGCTATTTTGCTCTTAGAATTGAATGTTATGTTTGCCCTGTGAAAGGCAGTAATTAGAAACTGACATTTCACACATATTACAAATATTGTGGTTTTTATTCATGACCTTTGCACAAATGCTGAGGCATCCACACAGCAAATACGTAGTTGCCATAATTATTTTACATGTGTATAGAATAAAAAAAATTTTCACAGAAAGGGTTATTTGTTTGAAATGTATTTGACACTAAATTAAACAAATAGAGCATTTTTACGTTCAAAGTGAATTTTTACTTATCTTAATGAATAAGGCAAAAAAACTGAAACTTTAATTTGCAAAGAATACCCAATCACGTGCAAGGACATTTAAAGGAAAGGAATTCCTGCTCACATATAGACTGAATAATCTGCACAACTTCCCCTCATTCACTGAGCATAGTGAAAATGTACTTTACAAAGACAAAAATGCTTAATGAATGAATTGCGTTGATGTCAATCACCCAATCATGTGCAGGCAGATAGTCCTTTTTTTTAATTTCCTTTCCTATAATTGGGTATTCTTTTTAAAATAAATTTTCATTAATTTTTTCATCTCATTCACTGTGCATATAATGCTTGGAAAAAATTCTTCAAGGAACTTGCAGGCTTCAAGGATCTTTTTTAAATTCTTTATTTTAAAGGGTATGCACCACAACAGGCTGACATATTGAAATTCACATCTATGGGGGTCAAAAGTCACTGCAGACATTGTTGACCAGATTACAAACAGTCATCATAAGATATGTAAGTGATAAACATTGTATAAGTGAGAAGTAACTGTATAGATAAAATATTATGCCAAATAAATTGCTGTAAGGTCTGCAACAGCATTTTCTAACTTGTTGACATTGTTGACAAGGGGTGGATAAAGAGCATTTGAGGGGGTCTCTTGAAGCAGTGAAAAATAGAAAATGCAAGGGAGACCATCGACAATAGCAGGAGGAGGAAAAAAAAGGGAAGGGGATGGACAGGGTTAAACTGAAAATTACCAGTGTCTAGACTCTAGAACATTTCATAGGTTACCAAAACAGCCCAAACCTAATTTGTCCAAAAGAGGAAGCTAGGCCAGTGGCCTGGCACCGAGGATTTGTTTTAAAAGCCATCCCTACCCCATGATCCTCTTACTAGAAATAGGCACCATAGTTTAAGACTTGTAATAGGATCTCTAAATATGTTAGACTATGCTGCACACAGACATGTTTAAAACTAAAGAACTATCCTCTGGGAGCACAATGTAACCCTGACATCTCATCTCATTTTCTGTTGTATCAGAGCCTTCTTCTATTAATGCAAGTCCCAGAAAAAAGGGAAACTTCAATTCAGAGGATGTTCTTCAATAGTACAATGTGAGAGTGAAGACTATTTGAAACATTAATAAATGCTTTCCAAATTGGCAGTGTCTGATGAAGATAATGCCTCTAGAGAATCTGCTCAATCCAAATGAAATGAATTATGCAGCAGGCAGACACAGCAATTGGAAGATAAAATAATGTTGAAGCTGGAATGGCCAGGCTGAATTCTGGTTATCTCGTGTACATATCGTTCATGCATATAATGTGGGTGTCTTTGCCACTATGTTTTTACAATGCAAAGTTCTGTGGCTGAAAAAAAAATTACTGTTGTGAACCGCAGCCAATCAGAATTTGCTTTCATTATAAAAGAGAAAATGAAATTGGTTGCTGTAGGCAAAGTTATCCTTTACCATACCTAATGCCTAAATGTTAACTATATGAGTATATAGCAAAAAAGATTTCAATTGAAACCGTTCACATCTAATTAATGGTTTGAAGGGCTTGATACATATTCCATCAAATTTACCCATATAAAAAGTGTTTTTTTCTGCTTATTCTGATCAGAACACCTAAGAAAAATTTGTGCATGTGTGCCCCCGTACCTACAGTCTTTGTAAATGGTACATTACTTTAGGATTCATCAGCAATAAAATGTGACTACATCGCACAAGATGAGAAA